CCTGGCCTCAAGAGATCCACCTCCTTTGGCTTCCCAAAGTGCTGGGATTATAGGCGTGAGCCACCGCACCCGTTCTCTATTGGGAAGAAATCTAAAACCACATGAGACAAAGAATTAAATCCTCATTAGGCTTTTGTGGGAAGGCTGCATTAGGCTCCAGAATGGGAAAGTCCACACTTAGACAGTACTCTTGATGACAGACATGTCAAAGGAAAGGGGAAAATGGCCCAGCCCAGTGCCCCAGAATAACATGAATAGTTTTGCTTCTAGCAAAAACTAGTCTAAATAATGTTATGAATATAATTATTAAACTTTTCAACTTAAAAATGGGCTGAATGAATATCTGTCAGGTTAGAAATAGAAAGAACTAAGGGAGGCTGAGGCAGGACAATCGCTTGAACCAGGGAGTTGGAGGTTGCAGTGAGCTGAGGTTGTGCCACAGCACTCCAGCCTGGTGACAGCGAGACTCCGTCTCAAACAAACAAACAAACAAACAAACAAAAAATGGAAAAGAAATAGGGAGAACTAGCTATGTGTTTCAGTATGCATTTATTTCTCCAATTCTTGATTCTCTCTCCCTTTGAGTGTGTAATACAATAATGCACAGGGCCATGACCTCAAACCCATACCATCACGTTCCATGCCCACATTAGATTCTCGCTTTTCTAGCTTATAATATAAACCTGCACAGCACTTAAAGCACAGCTTTCAGAATTTGTTGCTGTCTCTATGTGATCTTATCTTCTTTCTATTATTTCTTTTAAAAGTGATCTTATCTGCTTTTTAAAAATTACATTAATTAAAACAAAATAAGAAGGCACCCCCTAGTATTAGACCAAACAACAGACAGGAAACTGAAGTTCAGAGAAAGCAAGCAATTTCCCCAGGACCACAGAGCTAGTAAGTAGCTGACCTAGTACTCAAATTTGGATTGTCTGATTCTAAAGTTCACTTGCTGGCTGGGCGAGGTGGCTCACACCTGTAATCCCAGTGCTTTGGGAGGCTGAGGCAGGAGGAGCACTTAAGACCAGCCCGGGCAACATAGTGAGACCTCTTCTTTACTAAAAATTATTTAGAAATTAACTGGCATGGTGGTGCATGCCTGTAATCCCAGCTACTTGGGAGGTTACGGTGGGAGGATTGTTTGAGCCCAGGAGTTTGAGGCTGCCCTCAGCCTGGGTGACAGAGGAAGAACCTGTCTCCCCCTCCAAAAAAATTATATAAATAAAATAAAGTTCATTTCCTCTTTGTCATGCTAGTCTGCCAATTCTTTCCTGCTATGAACTAGGAAGGACGCAGGTGAGAATTACACCCAGTGAAAAGCTGGAGGCTCTGATATTTTCTTTCTTTCTTTTTTTTTTTCTGAGTCAGGGTCTCACTCTGTCACCCAGGCTGGGGTGCGTTGGCATGATATCAGCTCACTGCAACCTCTGCCTGCCAGACTTAAGCCATCCTCCCACCCAAGCCTCCTGAGTAAATGGGACTACAGGTGCGTGCCACCACACCTGGTCCTGATATTTTTGACAAAGTTTCTCATTGGTGAGTCCAATAGAGATTCGTTGATTAAGTCATGAAGTTCCCTCTTACAGAGGTCTTCTTTTAGAGTATCCACAGTAATCCATCTCCAGGAAAAGACACCTCTAAAAGGATGCTCTTTGGCTTCAGCTCCTATATCTTGAAAGACCAGAAGTTAACTGGATTGATATGATATCCAGTGGAGTCCTAGGAATGGGAGTTCTTGTATCTGCTAAGGTTATTCCCAATTATTCTGGGACCTCTCAGTATCTGGGAGCCTACAATACACCCTGGACATTCTGAGCACCAACCTTCCAGGGCAGCTGGAAGAGGTACCCGGAAAGAGGTACCCTAGAACTGTCTGGCAGATCTTCCTAATCCTGCCCCACCTACGGAGCCTGCATCAGGTACATGCTTACCAAACAATGACCCTGACCACCCTATCATTTGGGGCAACTTCCTCCAACTGATCCAGGCCATTCAGGTTGACTATGTACTAATCCTACCTAGAGGGAATGCCCAGGTAGACCATAAATTCTACTCTGGCCAAAAATGACCTCCATTTCCACATCATTGCCACAATGCAGCCCAGTGAGACAGCCCTGTCCAGCCTAGTGCTGAGCAGTCAACATCTACAAAGTGTAGACTTTTAACCTCCTAAAGCAAACAGATTCTTCTCTTCCAACCCAAGGATGTGTGAAACACACTTTTTAATGTTAGTACTCTGGGCTGGGCATGGTAGCTCATGCCTATAATCCCAGCACTTTGGGAGGCCAAGACAGGCAGATCACTTGAGATCAGGAGTTTGAGACCAGCCTGGCCAACATGGTGGAACCCCATCTCTACTAAAAATACAAAATTAGCCAGGCATGGTGGTGCATGCCTGTAATCCCAGCTACTTGTCAACACATTTTCTAACAAACTGTATTAGTCAGGGTGTGAAGAAACCTGTAGCACTGCTGGAAGTGGAAATTGGTAAAACCTCTACTGGATCGTTTGGCAATCAAAATAAAAAGATACATCCTTTTGATGCAGGAATTCACTTCTCAGGATTTATCTGTCAAGTGTACTTGTACATATATGGAATGAAGTACGTAACAATATGTATTTGTATGTATAAGGTTATTCACTATAGTGTTGTTTTTAATAGTGAAAGACTGGGCCAGGTGTGGTGGCTTATGCCTGTAATCTCAGCACTTTGGGAGGCCAAGGCAAGTGGATCACCTGAGATTAGGAGTTCGAAGACCAACCTGGCCAATATGGTGAAACCCCATCTTTATTAAAAATACAAAAATTAGCTGGGTGTGGTGGCGGGTGCCTATAGTCCCAACTACTTGGGAGGCTGAGGCAGGAGAATTGCTTGAACCTGGGAGGTGGATTGCAGAGAGCCGAGATTGAGCCACTGTACTCCAGCCTGGGTGATAGAGCGAGACTCTGTCTCAAAAAAAAAAAAAAAAAAAAAAAGTGAAAGACTGGAAACAACCTAAATGCTTATCATGGTTAAATAAGTTATGATACATCCACATAATGCAATACTATACAGTTATAAAAAAATATGGAAACTCTTTACATATTATTAAGGAAACATCTTAGAAATGTACTGTTAAGTAAAAGTAAAACAAACAAGGGCTAGAATGTGTGTAGCATACTACCATTTGTGTAAAAGGGAAGGGAGAGCAAGTAACACAGGCAGGGGAACAGGGAAGCTGGGGTGTAGAAATGAGATGATTTTGTATTATAGACCCTTTCGAATTTTCAACCAAGTAAATATGCTCTCTTTTCAGAGAAACAAATCCAAAGATTGAATTCTCAACTCCTTGCTAAGAAATAATGTCTAGTATCTCAAAAAATGAGGGTAAAATTTTCAATGAGGGAAAAATTATGATTATTAAAATAATTACATATATGTAAATAATGATAACAGCATCTCACTGAGTCCTCTCAGCAAACTTGCGAGGTAGGAACTATTACTATTACAATCTCACAGATGAAGAAATGAAGGCATAGAAAGGTTAAATAATTTGTCTACTGCCACACAGCTGGTAAATTATAGAATAGAAATTCCCCAACACTACAAAATTTGGCATCTTTAAAAAAAAGTATTATTGGCTGGGTACGGTAGCTCACGCCTGTAATCCCAGCACTTTGGGAGGCTGAGGCAGGCAGATCATGAAGTCAGGAGATTGAGACTATCCTGGCTAACATGGTGAAACCTTGTCTCTACTAAAAACACAGAAAATTAGCAGGGCATGGTGGCGGGCTCCTGTAGTCCCAGCTACTCCGGAGGCTGAGGCAGGAGAATGGTGTAAATCCAGAAGGCGGAGCTTGCAGTGAGCTGAGATCACGCCACTGCACTCCAGCCTGGATGACAGAGCGAGACTCCGTCTCAAAAAAAAAAAAAAAAAAAAAAAAAAAAATATATATATATATATATATATATATATATGTTATTATTATTAATTTATTTTGTAACTGTCCTGTGACCGTCGTAAAAAAATTTGGCATCTGAAAGCAAGGGGAGAAGGATACAAAGAACAGCACAGAACTTTAAACACAAGTGAAGAAAGTTTGGGAGAATCACTTTCATTTAAAAAACAATTAAATTTCGGCTGGGCACAGTGGCTCACGCCTGTAATCCCAGCACTTTGGGAGGCTGAGGTGGGCGGATCACAAGGTCAGGAGATGGAGACCATCCTGGCTAACATAGTGAAACCCCGTCTCTACTAAAAATAGAAAAGATTAGCTGGGCATGGTGGCGGGCACCTGTAGTCCCAGCTACTCTGGAGGCTGAGGCAGGAGAATGGCATGAACCCGGGAAGTGGAGCTTGCAGTGAGCCGAGATTGCGCCACTGCACTCCAGCCTGGGCGACAGAGCCAGACTCCGTCTCAAAAAAAAAAAAAAAAAATTAAATTTCAAACATATGTTGGTTTATGTTGGTTCTCCTGAACCAACTTTGTTAACTTGCATAAATTTTCATCTAACAAAATTAAAAGAAGCTATAGATAATGATTGTTTAATTTGGTCCTTTTAGTATCTGGAAAAAAGCTCAAAGTCCTAATATGAACTTGATGTAATTGCTACACTTCCTTTTCTTTTTTTTTAAAGTCTCACCCTGTCACCCAGGCTGAAGTGCCGGGATGTGATCTCGGCTTACTTAAACCTTCACTTCCCAGATTCAAGTGTTTCTCATGCCTCAGCCTCCTGAGTAGCTGGGATTACAGGCGCATGCCACCATGCCCGGGTAATTTTTGTATTTTTGGTGGAGACAGGGTTTCACCATTTTGGCCAGGCTGGTCTTGAAATCCTGGTCTCAAGTGCTCCGCCCTCCTCAGCCTCCCAAAGTGCTGGGATTACAGGTAGGAGCCACCACGGCTGGCCAATAGCTACATTTCACAGATGTATGATACTACCATATAGATAAATAGACCTAAGAGAAAAGTATTAATAAATCTAAAGTATAATGTGAAGTAAACTTTATTCTTACCATTTTCCTTTTCGATGACAATGATGGCTCATTTATCTGGAACAAAAAGAGTTCAAATAGTTTTTCAAAGCCATGTGAAGCTACTTTGCAAATATTTTCATCCATTTGTATTTATAGCTCAATCTCAATTTTAAAAGGTCGATCCTCTACTTGATGGGTGTTTCTCATCCTCTTTTTGCCTAGGTTTTGAAGGGCCAGTGGAAAACTGAGAAGAGGGATAACTGTAATTCCCTGTCAATCAGGGGCATACAGAGGAGTAGGGAATATGGGGTGGTGGAAACTGTTAGATAAACCACTCTGAATTACCCTCAAATTTTATTTATTCTTGCCTCCCATTACTTTGCATGATTAAAGAGTTAGGACAATTACTCTATAAAATTAACAGAAAAAAGCCCTGGGCTATTACATCTTCTAACCTTTAGGAAGTTACAGCAACATACAGACAGGCACAACTTTCAACATCAGGTGACTGAAGTCTAATTAGGCATTATGAAAAGTCTCATAGACGTAAGTTTTTGTTGAGAAAGGAAGAAGAAATAAAAGTATTATGTTGATCATTCTATTCACATAGAATTTTCAAATATTAAGATTTAATAACTTATGCAACTAGCATAAAATTATGAGGAAGTATGTGAGTTTCACTATTTGGATTTCATATTGATTAGAATTAAAATTTTTTATTTTGTACACAGAGATGTACATTTGAGAAATAAATTGTAACTTTAAGAACAAAAATGTAATATATGTGAAGGTTTGCTACATAAAAAAAAGGTAAGAAATATGCTTAATGTGCTAAGACAACTTTTTAGAAATAACTTGAATCTATGTAGAGTTCTAGCAAGATAAATTATTTTGTGACAATCAAGCTAGGCAAGGTGGCTTATGCCTGTAATCCCAGCACTTTGGGAGGCTGAGGGGAGAGGACTGCTTGAGGCCAGGAGTTTGAGACCAGCCTGAGCAACACAGCGAGACCCTGTCTCTACAAAAAAATTAAAATACATATATAGAGAGAGATCACATGGACACATGTCAAAGTTCTTTGTATAACATGTAGCTACTTGTTATAAAACTATTTTTTTCCACCAAGCACAGTGGCTCATACTTATCATCTCAACATGTTGGGAGGCTGAGGCAGGAGGGTTGCTTGAGCCCAGAAGTTCGAGACCAGCCTGGGTAACATAGTGATACCCTGTCTCTACAAAAAATATTAAAAAATAGCTAGGTGTAGTGGTGTATGCCTGTAGCCCCAGTTGCCTGGGAGGCTGAGGCAGGAAGATTGCTTGAGCCTGGGAGGTCAAAGCTGCAGTGAGCCATGATTGTGCCACCGTATTGCAGGCTGGGTGACAGAGTGAGACCCTCCCTCAAAACAAACCATCATCAGCAACAACAAAACGATTTGTTTCCCATTCCACTAGGTGTAAAAAGAAAATTTAAGGCTGGGTGCGGTGGCTCACGCCTATAATCCCAGCACTTTGGGAGGCCAAGGTGGATGAATCACCAGAGGTCAGGAGTTCAAGACCAGCCTGGCCAATATGGCGAAACCCTGTCTCAACTAAAATACAAAAATTAGCTGGGCATGGTGGCGTGTGCCTGTAATCCCAGCTACTTGGGGGGCTGAGGCAGGAGGATTGCTTGAACCTGGGAAGCGGAGGTTACAGTGAGCCAAGATTGTGCCACTGCACTCCAGCCTGGGCAACACAGTGAGACTCCGTCTCAAAAAAAAAAAAAAAGAAAATTAAAAACACCAAAAGACGGGCCAGGCATGGTGGCTCACACCTGTAATCCCAGCACTTTGGGATGCCAAGGCAGGTGGATTACTTGAGTCCAGGAGTTTGAGACCAGCCTGGACAACACGGCAAATACGCATCTTTAAAGAAAAAAAGAAAATTAAAAAAATTTTAAAACCAAAGGGCTACTTGTTGTTATGCATCAGATTCAAGCGAAATATTAAAAACAAAATACATATGTCAGTGTATGCTGTTGTAAGGACAGGATTTAATTTTTATTTATAGTTTTGCCCAATATATACCATGTGCAACTGTATAGTATCTAAGAAGTCTTAGGAAAAGTGGAAAAGCAAAAATTCATAATATAGTTAATTTAAAATTACAAAAGAAATTTAAGGTAAATACTGAAAATTTCAGTGGCATAGGAGAGTCTACTACACACATCTCCTTGGAAGAAAGCAAAGTATCAACTTACTTCAGAGAATAATGTAGCCAGTAGAACATACTCTAACATTTGCTACTGTTCAACCAAAATAATTTTAGGTAGGGCTTTTATATAATCTCATCCTTCAGTGATTATTATTTTATTCTTATTGTTCTCATTATTATTTATTCTCATTATTATCCTATTAAGTTATAGAAATACAAAAACAACATAGGACTTCCATTCTCATTTTGGACCATACGTCTTCCCAAAATAAAGACAAATTATCAAAACCACTGGGCAAGTTTTCAGAGTATGTTCATTACAATTCAATCTCTCAGTACTTAAAAAAATCAAACATGGTTTACCATATTCTTATTTGGCCTTATTCAACTCACTGGGAGAAAGTAAATCATAACATTTAAATGAAAAATTAGGAGTTTTTATTAAGTTTTACCATATTACAGAATTAAGATTGTTCTCAAACTTACTTCAATGATGAGACACTTATTTTACTGACTATATTCTTCTTCTTTGTAAAAATTCAGTAGCTGTGTCTTTTCCTTAAGCTTCAGACAGACATAATAATGCAGCCAACAAACTATATATCACACATCTGGTGTCTACTTGCAATGTTATATAACAGCCAAACACCAGAGTGGGTTATCCCAGTCAAAGCATGTCAGATATTGCACTAGGACTTTTGAATCTCAAACCATTAAAAAAAAGAAAGAAAGAAAGAAAAGAAAAGATTTCTATGAAAGCTTTCTGTTTTGAGCACTATACTTTTTTTTAACAAGCGAGCAAATAACAGAAAAAACAAACATATACACACAAATGAGGGATTACGAAATCACTTACCTCTTGTTGTTCCATATATTCTCTATGTCTCCGAGCTGCCTCATGCCTCCATAACTTCAGGCAAACCAAAGCACTAATGAGATAAACTATCATGGTAACAAATAGGAAGATCATTGCAGCTATCTGTCCTCCTTCTACCCGGCAGAACACTGCGTTCACTGGTGTATTAAATAACGGATAGTAGCAGAGGCCACCTCGGTTGGTATCATTCACATAGACTATGGCTGCGGCCATATACAAAATAAACAAGGCAACGTTAATTCCAAATTCAGTTAGGGGCCACCAATTAGAGTCCAGAAGAATGGTCCGGTAATACATGGACATTCCAAGAACCAGAATAATAATGGTGGTGATCCAAGCTAATCCAGCAACCACAAGTATAAAAGGGGTCTTAGGGCCACTGTAGTAATAGCCCCCATACATACTGCCCAGTCCACCAACGCCTCCCATGCCATACGGTTGTGAATATCCAAACAAGTTGTACCACTCACTGTCCTTGTGAATGTAAGCTGTGACACAAGCAAAGACACCGGCCCCCAAAAGCAGCTCCACCACCCCCAGTATTCTCAGCAGGCCTGCCCACGACTTCATGTAGGAGTACCTGAGGTTATACTCCTCCACCTTCTCACTGTATGTTCGCACTGTTTGTGTGTGTCGGTCTAGAGATCCATAGGGATCCTGGGGAAACACTGCGTCAGCCTCTTTCCGGGAACTAAAGGTTCCTCCTGACCCTCCGTAGGGATCTTTGCAGGAGTTGGGGGGCGAATGGTGGTTTGGTCTTGCTGGAGAGGCTGGTGGTGAACACTCCACTCCATCGGAGATGTATCTGATATCAGACACTGGCTTATCCCATTCGGGGTCCTTTTTCTTCCCTCTGAAGAAGTTCTTCCAGGAGTCGGGGACAAAGCGCCTTACTGGTTTGAGATCTGGCACTACAGCTGGTTCCTCTGTGTCACTTGAGTAGAAGTCTGGCCCAAATGGTGGCTGTAATGGGAGAGGGGGTGGTGGCAAGGGATCAGCGCTCACTGCCCGCTCACTGTCGTGAAGAGTTGGGCGGGTTCTTATGGTGCTATCTTGATAGGGCAGGTCGCTTGGGACCGCATCGTAGTGCCTGTCCCGATTCCTGGATCTTCCATCATTTGATGACATTTGTGATTTTCACACCTGTGGCCAAATTTAAAGTTATCACTTATGATTAGTTACTTATCCTCTCAACGATGCTGATTTTATTCACGTAGTAGCAAAAACTATTTAGGAGACCAACAGGATCATGTCTAATTATTATGATATACAAAAATGATAAATATGAGACTGGGCATGGTGGCTCATGCCTGTAATCCCAGCACTTCGGGAGGCCAAGACAGGCGGATCATTTCAGGTCAGGAGTTTGAGACCAGCCTGACCAACATGGTGAAACACTACCTCTACTGAAAATACAAAAACTAGCCAGGTGTGGTAGCATGCACCTGTGATCCCAGCTACTCGGGAGGTTGAGATATAGATCGCTTGAACCCAGGAGGCAGAGATTGCCGTGAGCCAAGATTGCGCCGCTGCACTCCAGCCTGGGTGACAGGGCTAGACCTTGTCTCAAAAAAAAAAAAAAGACAAATATGTATATTTTAACACTATAGATTTTCTATATTTCAAACAATTATATTACCTAGGGATACAGTCATCATTCTATGCCATTTTAAATGCAATCAAGATTTGAAATGTTAGGCTGGGCATGATGGCTCATGCCTGTAATCCCAGCACTTTTGAGAGGCCAAGGCAGGAGGATCACTTAAGGCCAGGAGTGGAAGATCAGCCTGGCAACATAGTGAGACCTGTATCTACCCAAAAAATTTTAAAAAATTAGCCATGTGTGGTGCTGTGCCCAGTCTCAGCTACTTGGGAGGCTAAGGTAGAGGAGAGAATCACCTGACCCCAGGAGTCTGAGGTTACAGTGAGCTCTGACTGCACCAGTGCACTCTAGCCTGGGTGACACAGCGAGTCTCTGTCTCTAAAAAGGGGGAAAAAAAAAAAGAAATGAAAACTGAAATATTTATAAATGTAATTTATCTGTGAGACCTATTAAACAATAAAAGAACAAAAGTGACAAAACTTTAACAAAACAGAACGCGAACATACTCCCAAGTAGAGTCATTTCCTCAAACATCTAAATCAAAATACTAAGAGTTTGAGTGTAGCGAAATTTGATGGGTCAGCAAATATTCTTCATTTTCACTTGGAATAGCCTAGGAGAAGCAGTCTGTTAAAACAAAGGGAGTGCACAGCCCTTCCCCTTCCTAAATCAACAAAGTCATTTTAGAAGACTTGCTTCTTCCAGTCTAAAATATTAACAATGGAAACTAGATGTAAAAAAATTGAATCTCAGAGACAACAATCACCAAAGGCTAAGGCTCCCCCAAGGCACAATAGAGAATGGCAGCAATGACCATTAATATTACTCTTTCCAGAGCAATTCAGGTGATTTACTGTTCCCAAGGAGAGACTCAAGTATCTCAGAAGGTATTTAATCCACTTCAAAAATAAAGCAGAAAATGCACTTTTACTAAGCCTATTGATTCATGAAATCAGTGCTCTGCACCCATACACAGGAAGAAAACCATTTGCGAATTAACTACTAGGGTTAAGGTATGCCGAATTTCTCTCTCAAATTGTTTATAAGTATTTTGCTTGAAGAATTAAAAATTTTTTTTCATTCACACCCTGCCAAGTCTCATTATTGAAGACTTAAACTGGGCACATGGTATTGTACTTGATACTACGGTCTCAAAATTAAAATGGATAACCCCATCTTTTTTGTTATTGTTTTACTTATTTATTACTTATTTACTTATTTAATATTTTAAAGACAGGGTCTCACTCTGTTTCCCAGGCCAGAGAGTAGGAGCATAATCATAGCTCACTGCTGCCTCAGCCTCCTGAGTAGCTGGGACTACAGGCGCATGCCACCATACCCAGCTAATTCTTTTTTTTTTTTGAGACTCGCTCTGTCGCCCAGGCTGGAGTGCAGTGGCTCGATCTCAGCTCACTGCAAGCTCCACCTCCCGGGTTCACGCCATTCTCCTGCCTCAGCCTCCCGAGTAGCTGGGACTACAGGTGCCCACCACCATGTCTGGCTAATGTTTTGTATTTTTAGTAGAGATGGGGTTTCACCGTGTTAGCCAGGATGGTCTTGATCTCCTGACCTCGTGATCCGCCCGCCTCGGCCTCCCAAAGTGCTGGGATTATAGGCGTGAGCCACCACACTCCGCTGCTAATTCTTTAAAATTTTTAATAGACATTAAGTATCACTGTGTTGTCTAGGCTGGTCTTGAACTCCTGGGCTCAAGCGATCCTCCTGCCTTGGCCACCCAAAGTGCTGGGATTACAAGCGTTAGCCACTGCACCTGGTCTGATAACCCCAGCTTTATACTGTTGAACGATTTGGAAATTCCTAAGGCTTTATTTTATTTTACTTTGGAAAACAAAGACCCTTCATTTAACCTGCCTTGCACCAGGCATGCTGAAGGTATACTGGTGGACAAACCAGACTGAAATCCTTGCCTTCATGATGCTTTAACTGGGGGAGTGCCGGGCGGATTGACAGATGATAAATGAAATATACAGTATGCTAAAGAACAAAGTTGAGAAATGGGGTAAAGACTGCAATGGTGACAGGATGTTGCAATCTTAAACCGAGTGACCAGGGAAATCTTCATAGAGAAAGGGACATCTGAGTGTAGAACTGAAGGTGAAGGAGGAAGCCCGGCCATTATCAGGGACAAGTGTTCGGGCAGATGGAACAGCTAGCGCAGATGCCCTGAGGCAGGAGTGCCTGGTATGTTCAAGAAATATTCAGGCATGGAGGCTACTGTGGCAGCAGCAAAGTGGGTAAGAAGGTGAATAGTAGAACTGAGGCCATCTGAATCATGTAGGGCCTTGAAAACCACTGGAAAGAAAGGACTTTGTCTTTTGCTGGGAGTGAGATGAGAAGCCACTGGAGAATTCTGAATAGAGGAGTGACATGATTTGACTAATTTTAACAGTATCACTATGGATGCTGTGTTGAGAGTACACTTCAGAAGGCAAGAGGTAAAACAGGAAGACTGGCTAGGCCATTGAAATAATCCAATGGATCTCTGAGATCGTGAGAAGAGGTCAAATGCTAGATAGGTATTTAAAATTTTTATTATAGAAATTTTCAAATATAATAAAAAGTAGAAAGAATAGCATTATGAACCCTTGTGTACCCACATCCAGCTTCTACATTTATCAATTTGTTGCCAAACTTGTTTCATTTATACTCCCCATACTATTTCCTCTGCCGCTGAGTCCTCTGAAGTAAACCCCAGACATCTGATCATTTTATCTGTCTATACTTCATTCTCCACCCCTCCCGCTTAGCCTTGGGGAGCAGTAGACTGAAGAGTGTTTCAGATGCGTTAAAAATCCAGGAAGAGATGTAAGGGGGCAAGCAAGGCACAGAGAATATGTACAGACTGGAGACAAGAGAATGGGGTGGAACCCTAGGGTCTTCTAATAGGGCACTCTGACCTTAAAGGATTAACTCTGATGGACCCAGCAAGGTGCCCAGTGCAAAGCAGTTCTGTATATTATAACAATCATTTATTTTTGTACCTTTCTCTTTTACTTCTTTCTCTAAAAAAAGTGTAAGTTCTAGAAATGCTATTACGACTCTAGTTTTTGAAACACATTCCTAAGAAATGTAGAAGCAAAAGCATAACAAATGATTTTAGCAAGTTTTACACAGCGTTTACAGGATACACCATGCTTAATTCAACTCATTGGTAAAAATAAGATTCACTGTAATGGATTTAACTCTTCACCTGTGAAGTGGCTTATTTGAATCAAATCACCTTATCCATTTTTAAATAAAAAACAAGCAATTATTATAGAGTTGTGGAAAAGCAAGTTAATGTGATTTTTAGAAGGTAATGGTTAGCTGTATTTCATTACATCTTAAATATCTGGATACCCCTAATGTCTTTCAGGATGTCACTGAGAGTCCGTTCTGGTCCCGCAGGCCGCGGCAGCGTGTGTCTTTGTCCCGCTCAGGCCCCAGACTCTTACTTCACTCTCGTACACTCATTTTGGAAAGCCGCGGCAGCGGCAGGAGAAATGGCTCCCCCAGCTAAGTGTCACAGGAATCATGCCTGGTCACCTTTCCACAAACAGAACCACCGGTTTACCTGGCTTAAAAGTGTTGCTGGACCCAAGAAAGGGGTAGATTTCGGATACTTCTGCGCTTCCAAGGGATCGGGAAAAGCTCTGTGGTTCTAACTAACCCACGACTGCCCGGGGGTACCGAGCATTTTCGCTGTGGGGTATCCCCCGCGCCAGTCTCTGGGCGCCCGGTCTCACAAATCTCACTGCGTCCTCGGCTCTGCCCGCGCCGGCTGGGCGTTCGTCTTCGCGTTTCTGGCTGAAACCCACTGTCTTTGGAGATTCCGCCCCAACGAGGCCGAAACTAAGCCGGGAGATCTCCCAGGTCAGGAGCACCGGGATCGCCCCAAGGTGCGCGCCGCGCCCCGCCCCGCGCCCGGAAGGACGGCGACTCGGCCGCACCTGCGTCTGCAGAGCGAAACCCGGCGGGACGCGGGCCTCCCCGATCCCTGGCTCCGGCCTCCCCCGCGGGCTATGGCAGGCTGAGTGCCGCCGAGCGCGGGCACCCTTCGGTCGCCGCACACCTGGGCTGGGGGCCGCCGGGCCCTCCTCTCCCGGTCACGTGGCCCCACTTACCTGCGCAGTCCACCCCGGCCCCACTTACCTGCGCAGTCGCCAGGAAAAGCGCGCACGCCGCCCGGGACTCTGAAACCGGTATCTGACTCCGGGGCGGGGGTGGGGCCGGGCGGGACGAGCCCAGCTTTGCCCGCCCAGCTCTGCCCCGCCCGGCTCTATCGGCCTGACTCCCACTCTGGACCCAGGCTGATCGGTGCCACCGGCCGGCACCTCGCGGCAATGACTACACACGGGGCTCTTTTGGAAAGATAGTTACAGTTCTCGTCGCAGCTTTGCCGTCCTCTTCCCTATCTTTTGAAAAGTCTGACACGGGGTGAGGGAGATTCGTGCACTGTGCCTAAGGATCTAAGGCAGACAGTGCATGCTAGGTAATTTACGTTAAAAGACAGGAGAAACAAAATGAAATTCAACATTTTAATTGTGATATAAATTATGTAAATACTTTCCAAAAAGTATCTAAGATATTCCACTGTACAACACATCAAAACTATATATGAGAAGCTGAAGACAATGAAGTGTAAATAAGGCACACAGTTTACACTCATAATTGCATCCTAAACTGTGGTATAGTTCATATTTACAACCCGCCATAACGTTTTTGCATCCTGAATTAGTCCTTCACATTTTGATATTTGGCATAATGTTGAAACACACTTTATACACACTGACCGCTCCTTAAACCACTCACAGATTTAATAAATACTACAGAAAAAATTCAGAGATTTGAAGGCTTGATCTTCTATTTACTTCAAGATGACAGAAGAGTAGGTTTCTTGTGATGAAATACTACAAGAATGAAGAATTAACAAACTGTTGTGTAATTCATCAGAAAAGCATATTAACTCTGCTGAAGTACCACTGAATGAAACAAAAATGAATCTGTGAAGTAGGAATCAGATTAGCAGGCTGGCTTCTATGTCCCATCACTCTCATAGTCTTCTATTACTATGTTTTCTTCCATGTCTCCTTGGGCTGAAAAGGGCTGGGGCTGGCTAGCAGGCAGTTCACTGGCACTATTCTGACTCAAAGGAAGAGACCAGGTTTCCGGCGCAGTGGCTTGAGTGGGTTCACCCAGAGATTCCTCTGTAGAATGTCCTCCATTAAGCTGGGCTTCATCTCCGCTGTCAGGGTCTATCATTCCATGTTCCCTGTCAGTCAGGGCTTCCATTTTCAATCTGTCAGATTCATTGCAGGCATTAACAAGAACCAAAGGGGGAGATTTTTAAATTACACCATTGAGTGTGATGATTATGAAGCCATCTTTCATTTACCTACATTGTGCTGTTCAGCTAGTCCCTTTAACTACAAAAACAAAATTACAAGGTAAATGACAAACTGTGAATAAGTTCCTACAACTTAAAATACAAAAAGGAGCTGAACACGGTGGCTCATGCCTATACTATCAGCACTGTGGGAGGCCGAGGGAGGCAGATCACTTGAGGCCAGGAGTTCAAGACCAGCCTGGACAACATGGCAAAACCCCATCTCTACTGAAAATAGAAAAACTAGCCAGGCATAGTGGCATGCGTCTGTAATCCCAGCTACTCAGGAGGCTGAGGCAGGAGAATTGTTTGAACCCAGGAGGCGGAGGTTGCAGTGAGCCAAGCTAGTGCCACACTGAACTCCAGCCTGGGCGGCAACAGAGCAAGACTCTGCCTCAGGAAAAAAAAAAAAAAAAAAAAAAAAAGAAACCAATCCAAACCACAAGAAAACACCTAAAAATAAAAAGAAATAATGTCTTCAGTAAAGATTTTTTCTTTTTTTTTTATTGAGACTGTCTTGCTCTGTCACCCCAGCTGGAGTGCAGTGGTGCAATCTCAGTTTACTGCAACCTCTGCCTCTCAGGTTCAAGCGATTCTCCTGACTCAGCCTCCGGAGTAGCTGGGATTACAGGCAGGCACCACCACGCCCAGCTAGTTTTTGTATTTTTAGTAGAGATGGGGTTTCACCATGTTGGGCAAGGCTGGTCTCGATCTCCTGACCTTAGATGATTCACACACCTCAGCCTCCCAAAGTGCTGGGATTACAGGCATAAGCCACTGCGCCTGGCCTACTACTGTCATCTTCTAAACTGGCAAAGATACTTTTAAAACCCAGTGGTGGCAAGGGTTAGGAGAAAAGAACATACTGATACACTGTAAGTGGATATAAAATTGGAAAAATTTTCTTGCCAACGATTTGGCAATAAAGAAGAAAAGCCCCAAAAGGTATATACTATTGATCCAGCAATTTCATTTGTAGGAATTCATCCTAAGTAAATAGTATTTGAAGTGCATGATAACTTATCTACAAGGCTAGGATAGTAAAAGTTGAAAAGAAGCTAAATGGGCAAAAATAACGTATAGGTTGAATTACAGGAAATTAAACATCTATTAAATATTAAGTACTGGCCGGGCGCGGTGGCTCAAGCCTGTAATCCCAGCACTTTGGGAGGCCGAGACGGGCGGATCACAAGGTCAGGAGATCGAGACCATCCTGGCTAACCCGGTGAAACCCCGTCTCTACTAAAAAATACAAAAAACTAGCCGGGCGACGTGGCGGGCGCCTGTAGTCCCAGCTACTCCGGAGGCTGAGGCAGGAGAATGGCGTGAACCCGGGAGGCGGAGCTTGCAGTGAGCTGAAATCCGGCCACTGCACTCCAGCCTGGGTGACAGAGCGAGACTCCGTCTCAAAAAAAAAAAAAAAAAAAAAATATTAAGTACTAATATTTAATAAATACTAAATACTAAACATATGATGGTTTTAAATATGGTCTACATAAATAAAAGATAGTACCAGTCATTGTAACATACACCATGGAAAATACTGCCTCTCGTGGCCAGACGCAGTGGCTCACGCCTGTAATCCCAGCACTTTGGGACGCCGAGGTGGGCAGATCATGGGGTCAGGAGATCAAGATCATCCTGGCTTACACAGTGAAACCCCGTCTCTACTAAAAATACAAAAAAAAAAAAAAAAAAAAAAATTAGCCGGGCTGGTAGCAGGTGCCTGTAGTCCCAGCTACTTGGAAGGCTGAGGCAGGAGAATGGCAAGAACCTGGGAGGTGGAGCTTGCAGTGAGCCAAGATCGTGCCACTGCACTCCAGCATGGGCGACAGAGAGAGACTCTGTCTAGGAAAAAAAAGAAAAGAAAAGAAAATACTGCCTCTGAAGTCACATCAAGTAGGTAGTTGAACCAATAATAAAATAGTGAAGATTCTCATTCAATTTAGGCTTGTGTAAAAGTAATTACTTTTGCAGCAACCCAATACAACTCAGGAGCAAAAATACAATAGAAGATACTTGTCTTTATTTGTCTTTATTTTGATGCCATAAACTTAGGGGGTCAGGGAAAGGAGCCATCAAAGAGATCTGGTCCTGCTTTCATTCAGAGGAATGTGAGAAGAAACACAGTGTTTATGAAATGTATAAGCCCTGATTACATCCCAGTGGGACGATGCTTCAAGATCCATCATGGTCTTTCTGTGATAGGAAAGATGGGCTCCGCATAGCTAAGCCAGTAATCAGAAAAAAACATTAACACTACAAAGGACTTAATCAATCTCTGAGGATAGACAGGGGGAAAAACCTCACATCACAAGAGTTTTCCATTTGGGACCAGAAATAGGAGAAAAGGTAGGAGGAGTCAGAGGTGCCATTTCTATCACTTACTTTTGTCCATGCATCCAGTAAGCAAGATTTTTTAAATCTTTTTTTTTTTTGAGATGGAGTTTTGCTTTTGTGTTGTTGCACCCCAGGCTGGAACGCAATGGTGTAATCTTGGCTCAATGCAACCTCGACCTCCCAGGTTGAAGCGATTCTCCTGCCTCAGCCTCCTGAGTAGCTGGGATTACAGGAATGTGCCACCACACCCAGCTAAATTTTGTATTTTTAGTAGAGATGGGGTTTCACCATGTTGTTCAGGCTGGTCTTGAACTCCTGATCTCAGGTGATCCACCTGCCTCGGGCTCTCAAAGTGCTGGGATTACAGGCATGAGCCACCACGCCCGGCTATTTTTAAAATCTTTAAACAATTCCTGAGCGCTTAATTCAATCTTACAAATAAGCTAAGTCAAACTGAAGTATATGTTTTGTGTTAATCACTGATAATGGCACAGAAGCTACTTTCCAATAAAATGAATCTCATATATATATATATATACACACACACACACACATATCTATTTTTTGCTTGTCTAAATTTTCTAAAATAAGAATATATCAAGGACACTGCTCCTTCTGAGGCAGTTCCTAGTCATTGCAGGTCTTCAAGCATAGGCTAAGAACATCTCTCGACAGGAAAGCTGGAAAGGGGTTTCTAGATTTGTTGAATTGGAGGATTTTAAAGATTCCTCTGCCTTTGTGATTCCCTGATTCCATTTAATCTGGTATAGTCCATTGGAAATAGGTGAAAATATGCTTTATATTTAAGAAAAGGGTCTATAATATAATGTTTATAAATTACTAGGTACAGTATGTCTTTCTTGGATGTTACAGATAACAGTTATTAATTCATATTGAACATATTCAGTAGACATTTCATTATCAGCTTTTTGGAAATTGAGATGATCAGCTTACCTTCCAAAGTGTCGCTTCAGAGGGAGCCTTCCAATATCTTGGATAAAAGAAATCTGAGCTGAAACAGATTTTTCAAAAGTTGTAAACAATTTTCCAAAGAAAATATACAAATGGCCAATAAGCACATGAAAAGATGTGCTTATTCTAATCTTTAGAGAAATGCAAATCCAAGCCATAGTGAGATGCCAATTCACATCTATTAAGGATGACTGTTATAAAAAACCAGAAAACAAGAAGTATGGGTAAGGATGTGGAGAAAATGGAACCCTTGTGCATTGCTCATGGGAATGTAAAATGGTGTAGCCGCTGTGGAAACCAGTATAGTGGGTCCTCAAAAAATTAAAAATAGAATTACTGTATGATCTAACAATTCCACTTCTGGGTATATACCCCAAAGAATTAAAAGCAGAGTCTCCAAAAGATATTTGTATGCCCATGTTCATATTAGCATTAACAATAATCAATGGGTGGAAGCAACCCAAGTGTCCGTCAACAGATGAATGGATAACCAAATGTGGTAGATACATCTAATTGAGTATTACTCAGCTTTAAAAAGGAC